AATGTTAGAATGAAATGTGATTTTAACCCTTTTTTGCACATAATATAAAGGCTTACATGGTTACATTAATTTTATTTAATATGTATTGTTTTGTTGGACAATATTGGGCGGTAAGTGAAATATATATATTAAATACAGATTTTTTTAAATCTAAATACAAAAACGAAAATACCGAGATATATACCGTATATCGCAAATCGGCCCAAAAATACAGAGATATGAATTTTTGCCCATATTGCCCAGCCCTACTTTGTACATCTCGAATTTGTTGATTTTCTGTGGAATACAAAAAATATTTTTGTGAATGTTGAGAACCAAACAATATTGGAGCTCAATGACCTCCATCACATAAAAAAATAAATAAAATAAATATATATTTAAAACAAAGTTTTGTAACAACATAAGGGTGAATAAATGATGACTTAATTTTCATGTTTTGATGAACTATCCCTTTAAGGATTTCTCTGTATTTTGCTACATTCAGCTTTCCTTCTACACTGACCAGTTCCTGCCTCTGAAATACAGAAGCCTCAATTCCAATAATTATTTTTCTCACAGCCTGTTTTTTTTTTGGCAAAATCCAAGTTTCCATCTGGCCACTCTCACATAAAGATCAGATTGGTGGAGTGTTGCAGTGATGGTTGTCCTTCTGCAAGTTTCTCCCATCTACACACATGATCTCTGGAACTCAACCAGTGAATGTCAGGTTCTTGGTCACATCTCCCATGATTGTTCAGCTTGGCTGGACGGCCTGCTCTTTGAACAATTCTGCTTGTTCCAAACTTCTTCCATGTCAGAATTATGGAGGCCACTGTGCTCCTGGGCAGCTTCCAATGCAGCAGAAAATGTTTTGTATCCTTCTCAAGAGCTGTGCCTCAACACAAACCTGCGTCTGTTCCTTTGACCACATGGTTTTTGCTCTGGTATGCATTTTCAGTTTTTTACAATTTACAAGGTTACCACAAATCTGCTTTGCCTCATGGATTGGTTTTCGCTTTGTCATTACAGGGTATAGAGAACAGATTGATGTATATATGTATATATATATATATATTGTAATATGTATGTAATATACATATGTAATATATATATATTAGGGGTGTGCGATATATATCGTCTGCAATAATATCGTAATTCGGTTCAATCGCAATGACTCACTTATTAAGAGTGATTTGCTGCCACCTGCTGGCGGTATTAATTTCAAAATGATTTCATTTGCTTGGTAACAGCCCAAATGAATTATTATTCTAATTCCCTGATTAAATGTAAGAATTTTACTCAAAAGATAATGGACACTTTTAGAAAAAATGGCTTTATAAAGGTAAAAATGCCCATAAAATGCAAAAATCAGTT